AAAATATTACAGAAAATTCCCACTTTGTCACAGCCAAGTCAAGCTTCACATGGTAAGTATCTCCTCCATGCTTCCTTCCTTGGATCCTCTGGACTATTCTGCAGCTCTCTGTCTGCACCATGAATATTTCTATATTTCCACCCGTTCAGCACACAGGAAATATCTGTAGTTTTGTGTGGGCAACACACACTATCAGTACAGAGTGCTGCCATTCTGGCTATCAACAGTTCCAAGGACTTTCATGAAATGTCTGGCTATGGTAGCAGCCCATCTTAGAAAGAACAGCATCTTAGTGTACCGTACCTCAACAACTGGTTGGTGCAGGGTTCTTCTCCCCAACAGGTCACAGAAAGCATTCGATACTTCTTGACACTGTTCTCCATTCTGGGACTAACGATAATCAAGGACACGTCTTATCTAATTTCCACTCTGAAAACGGGATTCATTAGAGCCTTCATAAACTCTGCTGCAGCAAAGGCCTACCTGCCACAGCCAGCTTCAGCAATACATTGGCTCTGATCATTCCAATGCAGACCAAGTTGCAAACCACAATGAGGACACGCCTCGGTAGTGAGGCGGAGTGGCCTCCCACTTAATCTGAGTGGGAGGAGTTACTCAGTAGTCCCTAGTGGATGCAGCCAGGCTGGGATTTCCCCTCCCGTTGGAAGTTAAGGGGTGGGACAGGAAGTATAAAGGGCGGGTCTTGGAGCTCCATTGGGCACCGCCGGAGGAGGCAGACGTCTCCCGTCTGCTCCCGAGGCTGGAGACTGAAGAGGCACCCCGCTGAGCTGAGGAGCGGTCAGACCTGCCGGAGCCATCAGCCGTCCGAGGCACTGAAGAGTCAATGGGACTGCTGCTGGCTTTGTACCCTGAGGAAATGGAGGAACCCCGCAGATTCAGGTACATCGCGAGGGGATGGTTGGAAGTGGCCCAGAGACAGCTGACCCCAGTCTGCCTGCACTGCTGCCGGACACCCAGTCAATGTATTGCAGCTGGATTCCTCGCTGACCCAATGGCGGAACACTCCACCACTGTTAGGGCCCTGGGCTGGGACCCAGTGGAGTTGGGTGGGCCTGGGTCCCCCTACCCTCTGCCTCCCCCCCTCAGGGTGGCAGCCTCCCCATCTTAGACCACAAGCCCTGCGTTTGTCTGCCGTCTTCCTGATCCAAGATGTCAGGCAATAGACTGTCTACTGCTCCACCCCGCCTCAGAGTCAGAGAACCCCTCTCCTGAGCCCACAGACCCCTTGGTGCTCCGCCTGGCCTGAGGCCTGAGCCCCTAGACTGTTTGATGCTCTGCCCTGCTTGAGGGTCTGGGATCCTAGACTCATTGCAGCTCTACCCCTGCCTAAGGGCCAGAGCTTACAGACTGCTGGCTTACTCTGCCCTGCCTGAGGGCCAGAACCCACTCATTGCTCGTTGTCCTGCCCTGACTGAGGGCCAGAAGCTTCTAGACTGTTTGGTGCTCTGCCCTGCCTAAGGGCCAGACCTTAGACTGCTTATTACTCTGCTAATTCCCTGACTGTGGGTGGCGCCTCACACTGACCCAGAGGGGGAGTACCCACAGCTAACTCACTACAGTCTCCAATTGCTGGGTCATATTAGGGCCCTACCAAATTCACGGCCATGAAAAACACATCACAGACTGTGAAATCCGGTCTCCCCCCATGAAATCTGGTCTTTTGTGTGCTTTTACCCTACACTATACAGATTTCACAGGGGAGACCAGCATTTCTTAAATTAGGGGTCCTGACCCAAAATGGGGTCATGGGGGTGGGGGTCACAGGATTATTTTAGGGGGGTCGCAGTATTGCTACCCTTACTTCTGCACTGCCTTCAGAGAACATCAGTCCTTGGCTGGGCGCCCAGCTCTGAAGACAGCGCCCCATCTGCAGCAGTGCAGAAGTAAGGGTGGCAATGCCATACCATACCCTCTTTATTTATGTGCTGCTACTGGCAGCGGCTCTGCCTTCAGAACTGGGCTCCCGGCCAGCAGCCACTGCTCTCCAGCTGCCCAGCTCTGAAGGCAGCGCTGCCACCAGCAGCAGCGCAGAAGTAAGGGTAGCAGTACCGCAACCTACCTTACAATAACCTTGTGACCCCCCCACAACCCCTTTTGGGGTTAGGACCCCTACAATTACAACACCATGAAATTTCAGATTTAAATAGCTGAAATAATGAAATATACTATTTTTAAAATCCTGTGACCGTGAAACTGACCAAAATGGACCGCGAATTTGGTAGGGCCCTAGTCATATGGCTTCATGCACATTGGTGACTCCATCCACCAGACTCACCATTTAGGTTGTCTCCAGTATACACAGCAAAGGTGTGAAAGTGCAGATTCCTGAACTCCTTTAACTGGTGGAATGACCCGGAGCAAGTTTGCAAGGGTGCGCCTCTCTCACCGTTATTGCTCACAAAGTCCATCCTGACCCAGGCTTCTGCACTGGGATGAGCAGCTCATTTCAAGAGCCTAACAGTTCAAGGTTGTTGGTCCCAGTGGAAGACTCAACTCCATATCAACATCCTGAAACTCGGGGCCATCTGACTTGCTTGCATGGTTTTTCTACCCCATATCAATGGCCAGAACATCCAGATAATGCTGGACCATATCACTATGATGCTCTATATAAACAAGCAAGGAAGGACCAGGTCCACCCCTTTATGAAGAGAGGCCATCCTTCTGTGGAACTGGTATGTATGTCACAACATTAGGATTTCTGCAATTTATCTGCCAGGTCTACAGAACAGCTGTTGGATCATCTGAGCAGACACTGGTTGCAGAAGCATGAATGGTCCATAATGGACTCAGTTATGAGGTCCATTTTACATCGATGGGGAGCTCTTCACACAGATCTGTTTGTGACTAAGCATGACAGAAAATGCAACACCTTGTGTTCCACAGGGGGCAGAGTCTGGCTTCTCAAGCAGATGCTTTTCTAGTGCTCTGGACTCAGGGACTACATTATGCTTATACTCTTGTTCCTTTGATACACGCGTCTTACAGAAAATCAGACAGGAGAAAGCTTTGGTCATACTGGCAGCCCCAACTTGGGCAGACAATACTGGCATCCAGAACTCAAATCTCTGTCACTGACCCCTCCAGTTGCACTACCTCTGTGTCCAGACTTGGTCAGCCAGAACAATGGATCTGTCCTTCACCCAGACCTGATATCACTGCATCTGACGACATGGAAACTGCCTGGTTACTGGACTTAGAAAAAACTTGTTTTGCAGATGTACATAACATCCTAGTTCAGAGTAGAAACAGTCCAGTAGAGTGTACCTAGGCTGCGATATGGACACACCTCTCTGCATGGTCATCTCAACACAATCTGCCCCCAACAGGGCCATCAATTCCTGATATACTTCAATATTTGCTGTCCTTGAAAACATCTGGACCATCTCTAAGCTCAGTACGGGTTCATCTGGTGGTGAACTTGGCGCATCATCCACCAACCCAACATTATAAAGTTTTCTCTCACCCTATAGTAAACATGATTTTAAGGGACTTATCAGAGTCTTTCTCCCAGAGCAACAGCTTCCTCCATTATGGGACCTTAATATGGTGCTTATCTGTCTGATGGACCATCTGTTTGAGCTGGTCTACACTGGCCTATGAAGACTTCATTCCTTATAACATTTACGTCAGCTCAAAGGGTTGGCAGATTACAAGGTCATCATAGACTGTCTTTCATAAAGATAATGTGGCATTTAAACCACATCCTAAATTTCTCTCATAAGTGGTTTCAGACTATCATTTAAACCATTTCATATCTTTACCTGTATTCTTTCCTAAGCCCCATTCCTTGAGGGGTGAAGTGGCTTTACACGTTAGATGTCCTTCAAGCCCTGTCTTTCTATCTGGAAGACAGAGCTTGAAGGGATAGGATAGATAACAAGACAGAAATTATCCAAATGCCTCTATGTAAATCCATAGAACTTCCCCATCTTGAATACTGTGTACAGGTCTGGTCGCCCCATCTCAAAAAGGATATATTGGAATTGGAAAAGGTACAGGAAAAGGTAACTAAAATGATTAGGGGTATGGAACAGCTTTTATATGAGCAGAAATTAAAAAACCTGGGACTTTCCAGTTTGGAAGAGACACCTCAGGGGGGATAAGATAGAGGTCTATACAATCTTGACTGGTGCGGAGAAAGTGAATAAAGAATTTTTTACTCTGTCACATAACACAAGAACTAGGGGTCACCCAATGAAATTAATAGGCAGCAGGTTTAACACAAATAAAAGGAAGTTCTTCTTCACACATTGCACAGTCAACCTGTTTAACTCTTTGCCAAGGGATGGGTGTGAAGGTCAAAACCATAACAGGGTTCAAAAAAGAACTACATAACTTCATGGAAGATAGGTCCAGTGATGGCTATTAGCCAGGATGGGCAGGTGTGACGAAGTGGGACTGTTCTTAATGTTTCCTTTGAATACTGTGTGGGTGCCTCAGTTTCCCCTATGGATTTCTTAAGTCTCCAGTGTGCATAACTGGCCGACAATCTGTCTCCTGGCAACAAATGGCCAGGGCCCTTCTCCCCTTGCAAGGGAATAGCTAAAGGTGAACAAAGAGATCAGGTGACCTCCTGGCCCGGGAAAGAGACAAAGGCCAGAGGAGGAGGGGCTGGAGGGGGTTCCAGGAGATGATCTGAGGCCCTGGTTTCAGGGTCTGAGGGCGGTTGGACTGCAGAGTCCCACATCCCAAGGGAGGGCTCAGTCAAGGGGTTGGACAACCTGTTACCCCTCAGTGCTCACCCCAGAGTCCCCAGCTATTCCCATTCTGCCCCAACTTCTTCCCAGATCTGCTAATGCCCCTCAGTCCTCACCCCCAACACCCTATCCCAGCCCTGGGCTTTCCCAGTGCATCTCAGGGCTGGATTGCATTATCCCTTTCTGCTCCCAGCCAGCTCTTGAGTCCCTAGTGGGCAACACTCTCCCAGGAGTCTGCTCCCTTGAGTTGTGCGTCTCCCCCTTTCTCTCCTGACTCAGATGCTCCTGAAGGCGGCAGATGGCTCTGCACTGAAGAATGAGAAGCTACAGCTCTTTGTTAGCTATGGAGACGTGAGGCAGGACCAGACTTTCCTGACGGACGAGTCTGGCAGAGCCTCCTTCGAGCTGGACACCTCCGGCTGGACAGAGAGGGTCACTCTGAGGGTAAGTGATGGGCATCCCAACACCTGTGGGGACCCTGCACTCCAGCCTCTGATCATCTCCTTTGAGCGGGACTGAACACCCGCTCTTGATGTACGAGGGCACCCAGCACTGGGCCCAGCAGCTCAGGGGTTGCTGCATTGCCTCTGTCAGGCTGCCCCATTCGAACCACTGGGGTTTTCCATGTCGCTTTTGTTAAGTGCTGAGAAATGTTGTTTTTGCTGCGGTTACGCTGTCTAGGCTGCTAAGCTGTTGCAGCTGCTCAGTGCTTCTGTTCTTGGAGCTCCGGTGTTATCAGCACTAGCAGAGAGTGCAGCCTGCTAATTCAGCAGACCTCGATGTTACTCATAAAGAAACACCACAGGCACAGTTCAGTGACGAAGGCACTTGGCTAGGTTTATTGTCCACAAAGCACAGTCCTAGCGCCCTGGTTCTGTGGTTAGAGGTACACTAACATATGTATGCTCATGACAGTGGACCAGCTCAGTCAGCAGCGGGACTGTCTGCTGCTCCCTCCGCTGGACAAAGGTGCCCTTCTTATGACTTACCCTTTTATACATTGATGCAAACAAGTTACATATGACACTCCTGATATGGTTAGTTATCAACCCTACACTTTGTACCTGCTGGTTCAAACAAAACATCCCCATTCACTATTCTGTCATCCCATTCTTATCTTACTTTGGGTCGGTGTGTTCCTGTACCATCTCCAAGGATTGTGTTTATGCCGTTACGTGAGAACTCTAGGTTAGGGTGTACCTGTGCAAGCCTTCTGGAATGTGTTTACATGAACACCTAGTACTTCTTAGGAAAGCCTGTGTTTTAGCAACACTAGTCATATCTTTGCCAAGTTCATGTACCAGACAGTGGACTTGTAAGCAAGCATCTGCTTTATGACAGGGCCTGAATTTTGCTCATAGCATGGCCTGGCTATGTTGATTGTGGTTCAGGCCTCAGGTTTTACACTAGGCCCAGTGCTCCAGATTCTCTCTCTCTACTACAGCTCTTACAGACACAGGGTGAGGGGTCTTGATGAAGAAATCAGTTGGCAAACCTGCCTTGCCCCGGCGGCATTCCTGTCCTATGTTGGGCACTCTGTATCCCTGATGATCCCCATCGCTCTCTCTATCCCCCAGGGGCACTTCAAGCAGGTGGATCGCAGCTCTGTGTATGGAAGAGTCTCTCCCAGTTATCCGGATGCCCATCGTAACCTGGAGCCCTTCTACTCCAAGAGCCAGAGTTTCCTGAAGATCCGCTCGACTGGGAGGGGTGCTGCCCTGCGACCAGGCCCAGCAGCTCCAGGTGGATTACATCATTGCTAGGGAGGCCCTGGGGAACGGGTCCAGGAGCCTGGATTTCATCTTCCTGGTGAGCCCGTCCTGAGAGACTAAAGTGTGTGTGTATGTGTGTGTGTATGTGCGTGTGTATGTGTGTGTGAGCACAAGGTGCATGTGTGCGTGCATGTGTATGAGCATGAGGTATGGAATCAGCGCTGTGACCCCAAGACAGACCAGTGGGCAATAGGACAGTTCCTTTGAATGAAAAGGGCGGGGCTAGATCAGGACGGGGCTTTTCCCCTTTCCCCACTAGGGGCTCTAGGTTCCAATCTGGCCCCAAAGCGGGAGCTGGCTGACCTGGGGGGCTGGGGAATGGGATACCTACCTGAATGTTCTTCCTTGCACCCCCACCTCTGCTGGCTTAGTCCGTGGGGAGCAGAGGTCACACCCTGCCCTGACTCCAGCCTGCGTAGCTATCCCCACATCAGGGCGTTTGTCAGCCCCCCGGATAGCGTCAGCTCAGTGACTCCCGTCTCCTCCTCCGCAGGTCGTGGCCAAGGGAGCCATTGCCAGGATCCTCCACAAGGGGCTGGACCTCAGGGAGGGGGCTGGTAAGTGTGGGGGGAGGGGTCTGTGCAGATAGGGGGTGCCCAGGGGGCAACTGGGGTTTGAGCCCCCTGAGCAGGGGCCGGGCTGGGGGAGGGGACTCTGCTGGCTGGGCCTGACTTCCCCTGGGTGTTTCCCACCGTCCCTAGGGCTGAAGGGCTCCTTCTCCGTGGAGCTGCCCGTCGGCGCTGACCTGGCGCCTGCTGCCACGGTGCTGGGTTACACAGTGCTGCCCGATGGCGAGATGGCTGCTGACCGTGCCCGGCTGCACATGGCCAAGTGCCTCCCGAACAAGGTGAGCATGGAGCTTGGGCAGAGAAGCCTCTGGGGTGGGGGAATCGCTCGCTGCCCCATAACAGGAGCCCTGAGCAGGGGCATTGCTGGGTGCTCCCCAGCCCCTCCCTTCCTGGCCTTACAGCAGCGCCAGGGTCGTTGCACCCTCATCCACCTCACTCGCTCTGGGGTGTCTATGAATAACTGCAGCTCCCTGAGCCATCCCACGGGGGCACTGAATGAGCCTGGGCTGCCTCAACCCCCACCCGCAGCACGGACTCCCAAAGCCCCAGCCCTTCAGCCCCCGCCCCTGCCTGGGCCTGTCTCCTCTTGCCCCTGGGGATCTCTCTCCCCCTCCCCTGTGACGCGCTGTGCCTCGCCAGGTGAAGCTGGCCTTCTCGCAGGACCGGGCCCTGCCAGGCTCAGAGCTCCAGCTGCGGGTGCAGGCTGCCCCCGGGTCCCTGTGCGCCGTCCGCGCCGTGGATGAGAGCGTGCTGCTCATGAAGCCCGAGGCCGAGCTCAGCGTTGACAAAGTGAGTCCAGAGCAGATCGGCCGCTCACCCGCCCCCTCACAACGAGTCCTCCCACTCGCAGGGAGGGGCGATGCACGGCTGCTGGAGGACACCCCTCGAGGTCACCTCTCCCCAGTCTGGGGGCTGTTCCTATGGCACTTGACAGCCTCTAACTCTGGGGGGTCCCCGCTTGCCTTGCCTGTTCTCCCTTCAGCCCTTGCAGTTCCCCCCTCCCGGCACCTCCTCACCCCGGCTCTGGCTGGGAACATGGAGCTCGGAGCTGAGATAATGGCCGGGGTAACCGGAGCTCGCTCTCCAGGGCAGAGCTGGTCCCCAGGGGTGGGGGCAGGAGAATTCCCTGCCCCCATGTACAACAGGGGACAACTGGCAAGGTTCTTTGTGGGAGTTGTCCCTGCCCGGGTGATAGAAAGGAATGGATGTGGGGGAACTGCAGCGACAGACCTCCATGCGGGAGATGGGATTGGGTGGAGGGAGGCATCTGTGCTGGAGATTAGCCAGGGTGATTGGGGAGGTTTATGGAGTGATGCGTCTGTGAGAGAAGGGGCTGGAATTGGGCTCTGGCTTAGCTCCCACGCCTCATGTTGTCTGTTTATTTTTAGGTCTATAACTTGCTCCCCCATTTTCCCCAAGGAGACTATCCCACTGCAGCTCGAGAGCACGAGTCAGGCGATTGTCCATATTTCTCTGAGTACTCCGAATACATGAGTCCCTGGTGGCGGCCTCACAGAAGGCCCCAGCCTGTCCAGTTTTCCAACAGTGACTCCTACCGTTTATTTAAGGTAAAGTAAATGCGGAGGCCAGAGCCTGATGAGGCCACAGTTGCTGACCTGAAGCCTCAAAATCAGAGAGAGAAATATACATAGGTATTGGGGCCAAATCCCCAGCTGGTGTAAATGGTCCCAACACCATTGGAGTCAAAAGGGCCAGATCGCCAGCTGGAGTAAATTGGCACAGCACCATTGGAGTCAATGAAATAACGCCGATTATGCTGAGGGTCTGGCTCATGGAGACAGGGACATGGTAGCGCTAGCTTGCCTGAGATATCGCTGATCATGAGGGGCTGTTGACTCACCTGTGGACCCTAGAGAGAGCTGAGAAACTCGCCCTCAAGTAGTCTTGTCCCTTCGGTAGAGATCCCAGAGGTTGGTGCTGGGCTCTCGCTCTTCGCTCCTGAGTGCCTTAGTGCATGTTTCAAGGTCCTGCCTTGTCTCCCGCTCCTATCCAGTGGGTCTGTGCAGTGCCAGGAGTGTGAGTGAGGAGGCGTAGCTTGCAATGCCTTCCGTCTGCTGCCGACGTGCAGCTCTTTGTGTCCATCACACTAAGCCACAAAGGTTCAGTCGAGTGCTTTACCCAGGGTCCAGTTGAGGCTGAGGCATAGCAGAGCTATCAGGCTGTTCAGGTAAGGCTGAGATTACATTGGGGAAAACAACCAGAAGAGATGGCAGAGATTGTATCAGCTCCTCCCACGAGGAGGTCGCCCACAAGTTTGCAATGTGCAGGACACAATGACTCTGTAGCTGCTTTGAGTTGATCAGATAGCAGCTGTAGCCAGGATGGCATTTCTCCACATAAGTCTGATCAAACTGTTGCAACCTTTTCAGTCTGGAGTGGACTTTGTTACCATTATCCAGGCCTTTGTCACCTCAAGACTTGGGTTACTGCGTTGTGCTCCACAGGGAAAGCACCATCAGTCCGTTCAGAGACTTGGGCTGGCGCAAAACTCTGTAGCTGTGGCTAGTGGGGGGGCACAAATGAAAGATTCTGGGGGGGTCACATGCCCCCCAGACTCCTCGGGATGCCTGTGGTGGGGACACAGCGGCACTCTCGGTGCGTCCGTGCAGTGTACGGAGTGAGGAAGCCACAGGCAATTCATTCAGATCTGCTGAATCACTCTCTGCGTTTGTTGAAAATAAGCTTTAAGGTTATTCTTGTGTGTTATTCCCAAGTGTTACTTAGTGCTGTATAATATATCAAAGATGTTACTCTTTCCCCTAAAAAGTTCTACAATATCTGAGAAGCAAAACCAAGTAAACTTGAAGTTCAAGTGAGCAGCTTTTAATGTAGATCAGAGGACATATGCCTCCCCAGAAGAGGTGACACATGCGGGGGGCATGCAAGGTCATGTCCCTCCACCCCCGATTTCTCAGGATGCCTCTGTAGAGTTGCCAACTTTCTACTCACACAAAACCAAACACCCTTGCCCCACCCCTTGTCTGAGGCCCTGCCCATGCCCCGCCCCTTGTCTGAGGCTCTGCCCCCGCTCACTCCATACCCCCCGCTCACTCTCCCCACCCTCACTCACTTGCTCATTTTCACTGGGCTAGCTCAGGGGGCTGGGGTGCAGGAGGCGGTGAGGACTCCCGCTGGGGGTGTGGGCTCTGGAGTGGGGCCAGAAGGAGTTCAGAGTGCAGGAGGGGGCTCCAGGCTGAGGCAGTGGGTTGGGATGCAAGAGGGGGTGAGGACTCTGGCTTGGGGTGCAGGCTCTGGGGTGGGGCCAGGGATGAGGGATTTGGGGTGCAGAAGAGGGCTCCAGGCTGGAGAGTAGATCCGAGGAGTTTGGAATATGGGAGGGGGCTCTGGGCTGAGGCAGGGTGTGGGGGTGTGGAAGGAGGTACAGGCTTTGGGCTGGGGGTGCAGGTTCTGGGGTGGGGCCAGAAATTAGGGATTCAGGGTATGGGAGGGGCCTCCAGGCTGGGACTGAGGGGTTCAGAGGACTGGAGGGGGATCAGGGGTGTGGGCTCTGGAGTGGGGCCAGAAGGAGTTCAGAGTGCAGGAGGGGGCTCCAGGCTGGAGAGTAGATCCGAGGAGTTTGGAATATGGGAGGGGGCTCTGGGCTGAGGCAGGGTGTGGGGGTGTGGAAGGAGGTACAGGCTTTGGGCTGGGGGTGCAGGTTCTGGGGTGGGGCCAGAAATTAGGGATTCAGGGTATGGGAGGGGCCTCCAGGCTGGGACTGAGGGGTTCAGAGGACTGGAGGGGGATCAGGGGTGTGGGCTCTGGGGTGGGGCCAGGGATGAGGGATTTGGGGTGCAGAAGAGGGCTCCAGGCTGGAGAGTAGATCCGAGGAGTTTGGAATATGGGAGGGGGCTCTGGGCTGAGGCAGGGTGTGGGGGTGTGGAAGGAGGTACAGGCTTTGGGCTGGGGGTGCAGGTTCTGGGGTGGGGCCAGAAATTAGGGAGTTGGGGTGCAGAAGAGGGCTCCAGGCTGGAGAGTAGATCCGAGGAGTTTGGAATATGGGAGGGGGCTCTGGGCTGAGGCAGGGTGTGGGGGTGTGGAAGGAGGTACAGGCTTTG